CATTTATTTTTATTATTTCTTCTCTATGTGTTTAGCTTGAAACAATCTCAGACTTACAGAAAAATGACCAACTATTAAAATTATGTAAGTTTCATTAAAATTAAATTATATTCTTTCTCCTGGTCGATTTGAGAATAAGTTATTGGCATGATGCCCCATCGCCCCCAAATACTTACCCATTTCCTACAAGCAAGGACGCTCTCCTACATAATCAAAATCAGGACAGTGATACATATGAGAGGTCCTCATACCACACTGAGGTCTCACCCACTGTCCCAGTGCTGTCCCTCGGGCGGAAGAGTACAGCAAAGGGTCTCACGTTGCATTGGGCTGCCCTGTCTCTTCCGGTCCCCTTGCTTCCCGACAGTTGCTCAGACTTTTCCTTGACCTTCATGACCTTGATATTTGTGAAGGGCATGGACCCCTTACTTTGTAGAATGCCACTTCATCAGGAGTTTCTTTTATGTTTCTGCACGACGGGATTCAGATGATGCATCAGGAGTATCACAGAAGAAAGGACGTTCTGCGCCCTGCGTCCTGCCTACTGGCGCACGATCTCTGTTTGCCTCCTCCCGGGGGTGTTTACTTTGATCACCTAATTAAGGTGACATCTGCCACGCTGCTCCACGGCAGAGACACTTGGTGGGGGCAACACTCCGTAGTCTGTAAATATCCACTCCACTCCGTACTCTGTAAATATCCACTCCTTTTCAAGCTTTCAGCGTCTTCAGACCTTTATTTGTGTCTGTATGAATTCATGGATTCCTGTTGTACTCAGTGGGTTGAACTCATCAACTTCTCGGACGCTCAGGTTGTCCCAGATTTGGCCAGTGGGGACCACACCCAGAAGGCTTTTTTTTTTTTTTAAGATATTATGTATTTATTTGAGAGAGAGAGGGTGCACACAAGCAGTGGGAGAGAGAGAAGCAGACTCCCTGATGAGCAGGGAGCCTGACGCGGGACTCCATCGCAGGACCTGATACCCTGACCAGAAGCCTAACGGACTGAGCCACCCAGATGACCCCACCCCCACCCCCCCAAAACAGGCTTTTTGTTTATCACCTTGACTTTTCTCCATCAGTCCTTGATACTTTGTTGCTTTCTGACCCAGTAAGCTGTTCCTAGATCATCTTGTCCCTTCTCTGCCCTAGACCTGGAGTTAGCCACCTCTCCAAGGAGACTTGGTTTTTTCTCAGGATCCGTGGTGGGTTTTTTTTTTTTTTTTTTTTTGGTGGGAGGAGGTAAAAAATGATATTTAGCAACCAAGATCTTACATGAGTAAGCTCACTGCTGTGAGCAGGAACATTTGTGTGTGTGTGTGTGTATACACACATACATAAGTGTGTGTTTACACACACATAGTATAAAAACATATTTACATTTACATTTCTCTTGGGTTGTGAGCCCTCATGACCACCTCCATGGTCTAAATTTTGCTACAAGGGCTCTTGGGACTGAGCATATGATTTTACTCGTGGCTGAGATTTATTGTAGTGACGTAGTGAGGACATGCAGTGATGTCATGAGGAAAAAGATGCAGGTGGGGTCTGGAAGAGTCTCCGTGTTCAGGCCTCCTTATGCTCTCTCCCCCAGGGAGGGTTTCCAGAGAGCACTCTGCTTCCCTAGCAGCGAAAGTGTCTATCACATGATGTTTCTGTCCAGAGAAGCCCAGGCCTGAGGCTTTTATTGGGGGCTGGTCCCATGGGCAGCACTCTGCCTGGCATGGATCAGGGAAGCAAGCGGGTTTGTCCAAACAGTCTGGGTGCGGTTCACCACCTTGCTCACCTCCAAAATGCGGTTCCCAGATACGAGCCACGGGCCCACCTTGTAGGCGAGCTTCTCTAGAGATAGCAGCTTCAGGCCTGCAAGCCTGGCCCTTCTTGCACGCTCGTGACTGAATTCGGGCTCCAATCCCCCCGCTCCGCCCAACACTGCGGGGGGTCCTCTCTGGCCTTTTTCTTTCCCGTATTTGCATCCCCCCTGCGCTGGGTGGCTCAGTTGGTTAAGCGACTGCCTTTGGCTCGGGTCATGATCCTGGAGTCCCGGGATCGAGTCCCGCATCGGGCTCCCTGCTCGGTGAGGAGCCTGCTTCTCCCTCTGACCCTCTTCCCTCTCGTGCTCTCGCTATCTCTCATTCTCTCTCTCTCTCAAATAAATAAATAAAATCTTAAAAAAAATAAATAAAAATAAAAAAATAAAAATTGATTTAAAAAAAAACAAACACACAGGGGAAACTTGGCTCACACTGTCTTCAGTCTGTTGATGGGTTTGGTCAGGCCCCGCTCAGGAACCAGTGTCTCGTCGTTTTGTTCTTCTCTTCACCCCCATCCGGGCCCTCGCACCCGGCCCGTGCCGGGCTGTCCCCCACGGGCAGACATCCCTCCGTGTTCTGAGCAGGACAGGGATGCCGCCATCCTGCCTCCTTCCTCACCTGCCACGGGTCTGGATCCTCTTAATTAAGGAGGGCCCTTGGGACTGACCCCTCAGGAGAGGGGGAGCCGGACCGTAGCTCACGGCGTCCCCCCCCCGGTGTTAGAATGGCCCTCCGTGGTGGTTCCAAGTCGGGCCCAGGTAGCCAGGCCCTTTTGCCCCATCACAGTGACTCCTGGCATAGGGGCCGCCCCCGGGAGGGGAGGGGGCGAGCTCTTGCAGATGGGCAGACCCGCTAGGGCCAGCAGCTGTGCCGGCGGCGGGGATGGGAGGTCCTGGCGCACCGGCAGCACTGGCAGCGTCCGCCCGGGGCCGAGACACCGCGGGTCCCCTTCGCCTCTCCTGCCTGCACACCTTCCCTGCCCAGTCTCCCCGCCCGCCTCCTCCACCAGCATGGCTTTTCGATGGAATTGTTCCAGAAGGGCAGGCAAGGGGAGAGGGGGATTCCATGACTTTTAAACCGTACTATAATCCTATTTTCATAAATTTAGAGTGGCATTTCCTCATTGGGAAAGGTTTACTAAAGCCTTGCTTCCACGGAGTCATCCCAAACTAGAAGGGAAGAGAAGGCCGACCCTTCTCTCTTTCCCGTGGGGCACGTTTCTGGAAGCTTTGGAATTTGGCGGTCTGGGAACATCTGGGCCCGACTTCCACAGGTTGAATTCGGACCCAATTTTCCCATTTCTCCTGCTTTTTTACTTTATATCATTTTATTTTTTTAAGGAACTTTAAGAATCTTGACATTGGGCTCTTTGGAAGAGAGAGAGCCCTAGGGCTACCAAAACTACAAGTGGGAGAAACTGCCAGGGAAGCTGTGCCAGGAGCATATTTTTATTCTGCCTTCCCCAGAACATGAGAGACATGCTCTGTCCACAGAACTGTGCTGGTTTTATTACGAAGCACAACAAAATCAGCGAGGAAGAACTACCCAGAAATGAATCACGGAGCCCTCCTCGGAGTGGGGGTGTGTGTTCCTCTATCTAGGGTCGATAGAGGTCCTAGAAAAATCAACAGTTGTTCAAGGGCTATGCGATTTAAAGCATGATCTTATCCACAAAGAATTGCTTTTTAGTTCTTACTACACAGAAAGCCAAGCTTGGCACTTCAGAGAAATGCAAGAACAGTCAGTACAGAGGGCCTGGGATTTGAGAGACCAGAGAACGAACACGAAGTCTAGTTTTTTCAAGTTAGAAATTAATGTCTTTGCTGTTGTTACTGTAAAAAAAAATGATTTTTTGGGAGGGGAAATATTTTTCTAGTCTTCAGAAGCATAAAAAGAAAGCCTAATTGAAAGAAACTCAGAGTTAGTTTATCCTATTTATTTCTATCACCGCATTATTCTTAGGGAACCAGATCTAGGTTTTGAACGTAATACTTCATTTGCAAATTACTGAACTGATGCTCTCCTTATGTCACGCTGTGTGCACGAATCACCTGGTGTCCCTGTTGTTTTGCGGCTGACTTTTGGAAACATGCAACACAAGTGTGCAGAGTGGGTTTGGCAAAGAATTCGTGCCCATCACCCATACAGACGTGGACAAGCAGGAGGGCAGCATTGGCTTACTTGGTAGTTCACGCCTCTGGATTGTGGTTAGTTTTCCACGAGTGTTATCCGCCAGAGCTCCTGCTGTTTTTCTGGAAGATAAATTGTTGTTCAGGATTTCAACTTGAGGGCACCTGGGTGGCTCAGTCAGTTAAGTGTCTGCCTTTGGCTCAGGTCATGATCCTACAGGCCTGGGATGGAGTCCTGAGTCCGGCTCCCTGCTCAGCAAGGAGCTTGCTTCTCCCTGCGTTCCTCCCACCTTTTGTTCTCTCTCTCTGTCTCTTTCTCAAATAATAAAATAAAATCTTGGAAAAAAAAAAAGATTTCAACTTGAAAATCAGGGTGCACCTCAAGGGCGTAGTTGAACAGCCCCATGGTTTTGATGCATCCTTCGTGTTGGTGGACTGTAGGTTCTGTGACATGTCAGTTAAATAAATACCGGTCATCTGCTGCTAACAGAGAAGTTTATAAGTGTTTTGTACCAATGATATTTTAAAAATGTGTTGAAAGTTGGTTTGAACCTACATCCAAGTACTCCTCTTTCCAGCCAAGCATCATTTACATGGTTATCACCATAAATATTTGGCCCAGGGCTTCGGTGCCCATTTTTGAACCGAGAATCCATTCAACCTGCTTTCCAGAAGAAGTGGTCCTCATTTTTATGTTGGTGACTTCACTGCATGTGGTTTTTCTTAGGCAGGAGAAAGTTGGTTTTTTTCTCAAAAGTGAGGAGCAACAAGTGACAATATCTGGATTTCAGAAGCGTTCTGGAACGGGTATTAAATTACTACGGATACTGCAGCGAGACAGTGCCACGTGGAAATATCTGTGGCGGTGATTCATCGCGTGCGTGGGCTTTCTTAAAAACATTACTGTGCGCTCCAAAGGAACGATAAAAATAAATGGCATGGAAATCACACACAGCGTACTTTAGTGTTAGAAAGTAAAGGGGTTACTTTGAGAACACGCCGTACGCAGTAGGTCTGAGTAACTCTGTGGTCTTGCCGTTGCTCTTCCTTATTTCTAGGTACAGAGGCAAGACGTACCGGGCTGTGGCCAAGATTGTGCGGACATCGGACCAGGTAGCAGATTTCTGCCGGCGGGTCTGTGCCAAGCTGGAGTGCTGCCCAAATTTGTTCAGTCCCGTGCTGGTTTCGGAGAACTGCCCAGAGAACTGCTCCATTCACACCAAAACCAAGTACAGTAAGTTCAAAGAATAAGAAGACTACTGGGCTGGGGGCCTAAACGGTGAGGTAAGCTAGCTGGTGGGTTTCTAAAAAACAAAACGAAACAAAACAAAAACCTTTGAGTAATTTTTCATGGGAATCGCTGTGAAAGAATTCTTCAAGATTTGCTGTGGCCGATAACTCACGTGCCTCCAGCCCAGTGGAGGCACAGGATGACAAGGAAGAGATGCGAAGGGCTATGCTGTGAGTTTCAGGGCATTGGCTGAGTTTGGAAACTTACCTGGCGGAAGGGAGAGCTGGATAGAGCTGGTTCCTGGTAACGGTTGGTAACCAGCATTGCTTTCTGGGTCCTTAGGCTGAGGAGGTATAGAGCCTGTCTTTGCCCCTCTGGACTGGGGTGAGCTCCTTGTCGTAGGCTGCTTCCCCCGTCTATACCGCCTCCTCGGAGCTCCCTGGACGGGGGGTGTTTGGAGGGTGCAGAAGCAGCCCGCACTGTCCGTGCTCCCATGGGGTCAGCTGGTCCCCCTGCCCTGCCTCTGCTCTGACCGCTTCCCGGCAGGATTTTCGAGCTCGGCCTTCTCTGGTGGCCTCTCCTAGCTCCTGTTCTCCCTCCTTTCTTAGCGCTGACCTTTGTCCGCACGCACCGTAGCCACTCCCAGACACCTCCACCCCGGTTATGCCGAGCTCCGACAACTCCCTCTGATCCCTGCTTCTGCTCTTGCCGCCTCTCCCCTCGGTTATCTCTGACCTGGGCGTGACTGCGTCCCCGTCACGGTGGCCTGGAGGTTTGCTCCCCCAGCCTGCTTTCTGGCTGCCGGCGTATCGACAGGACTCGGGAGTGCAGCCCGCGTGCTGGGAGCCCCGGCCGGTTGAGACTGATCAAACCCGGGTGTCAGAAGCAGGAATCGGAACGGACTTGAACCACCGTTCCGAGTGTGAATCTCCTTGTAGTTTTCTCTGTATGGATGCATGGATATGCTAAAAACTCTCTTCCATGCCATTCCCGCTGAGTCGGCGCCCTTCTCTGTCCGGTTGGGCCGCCTGGCATTCTGCACCCACGCTCACGCGTGGAGAGCCACTGGTGTGTTGGTAGGATGTGCTGACGTCACAGTCTTCTCCAGACAGTGGTGACATCACTGACCTTTCTGGAGAATTTGGTTCCCCCTCACATCACCTTTGGTCAGAGGAGAGACTCCCTGGAGCAGGCTGCTCAGTAACAGATGCTCCTGAATCGCAAAGGACTTGACTGAGAGCTAGACTCACCCTTGAATGTTTGCCTTAAAAACGGGAAGAGGTGGGTTACCACAGCTTGAATTAAACACGACCGAAATGACTTAGAGATTTCTCTGAGTCTCGTGTGATAAAACGTCAAAATCCTAAGATCCCTGGGTCAACGTATAGTAAATATTGCTGCAGACTGAACTGATGCTCCAGGGGGAGATGACAAAACCACACTGGGGAGGAATTGAGAGCAGCAAGGCCAGCAGTCACCCCAGTGGAACCCCAAGACTCTGAGAGTGTGCTGCACCTTTGTTGTATTCGGTAAAACTGCTCTGGTTTCTAGCGTCTGGCTTCTAGGAAACATGACATGCACTGTGTTTTCGTAGCCCTCAGATTGATTTCTTGGGTGTTTGGGGATGATGTGATAGTTATTCTAAGCTGTGTTTGAAGGACAGGGCGAATGCAGGGTCCCCCTACTCCCCCGCCATCTTAACTGCCCTCCTGGCTTCTCAGAAACCGAACTGCACCAGACTTATCTTGCCCGCACGGGGCCCTGGGGTGTGAACAAATGCTCATCCACCTGTAACTGGTACGTAGGGACCACCGTGAAGCGTCGAGTGTCCTGCTCGGTCCCACTGGGCTCCTTTTGCATGTGGGGCCATCGAACGCCAGGGCCGGATATCTTTCCCGTGGGAATACAGCAGCGTAGGCACGCATGGGGGCCACGCTCCGCCACAGATCACGTGCTCCACCGGAGCCTAGCAGCTGTGTGTTTGGGTATTTTTCTTGGCTCCCTCTAACCGCAGATAAAGGTTCCCTTTCTGCACGTGGTTCTGTAGGGAATAATGGGGGTTTCGTTGTGGGACGGTCGAGACTTTGGGTAATGAGTCTCGATCAGGATCATGATTGAAAACGGGATCCTTAGCAGTGGTTTTCATTAGTTGAGTATACATTTCATTTATAAAATATAGCAGTCGTTACTGGACGTTGGTAACCCTCTTAACGGGTGCTCTGCGTGTTAACAGAGACCTCTGTCGAGGTGCTGGCAGGGTTGATTTCTCCGGAGGCCTCTCTTTGGGCTGCAGATGGCCATCCCCTCTGTCCTCACGTGGCCGTCCCTCTGTGCTCGCCTTCCTGCTGTCTGTCCCTCTTCCTGTAAGCGGGCTGGTCCTGTAGGATCAAGGCCCCATGCCTTGAACCTCATTTACCCTTAATCACCTCCTTAAAGGCCCCATCTGCAAATACAGTGCCATGCGGGGTGAGCGCTTTTACATTTGAATTTTGAAGACATGTGGTTCTGTCCCTAACACCTTCTAACCGTGAGGGCACGGGAGAAATGTTCCCAACGAAAGGACGGTCTTTCTCTCTTCTCTTCTCTTTTCTTCTCTCCTCCCCTCCCCGGTCTTCCTCTGGTCTCTCTACTCTCTCAGTGTCGATGGACTTCGTGTATGTGACCTTTAGAAGACGTTCTTGATTCCCTCTCTCCCTGCAGCCTATTACTATGGGAAGAGAAAGAAGATCGTGAAGCCCCCGATCGGGGAAGCCAGCACTGAGAGCGGACACCCGAAGCCAGCCAGACGTAGGAAGCGGCGGAAGTCCATCTTTGTGCAGAAGAAGCGGAGGTCTTCTGCCGTGGACTTGGCCGCAGGCTCGGGGGAGGTATGTCCCACTCAGAGCACCTTCCTGCCCGCGCCCGGGACGCGCGGCCGCTCTCGGCCAAGGCCGCAGGCGACGTGTGATGCCGAGCGCTTGGGAACCCCAGGCACCAGGAGCCCTGCGGATTCAGCCGGCCCGGCCACGCGAGCTGGGAGAGGGTGGCGACGGGGACCAGCATGGTGGGGGCCGCGGGATGGGCCTTGGGCCGCCCCCCACCGCCGGAGGTTTGCACAGGGCCAACTGAAGTCAGTGCCTTCCCTTCTCCCCAGGACAGCGAGGATGCAGATGCCATGGATGAGGGCACCGAGAGTGAGGAAACCAGCTCCGAGCTCCGCGATGACCACACAGACACCTCTTCGGCCGAGGTCCCCTCTGCGCGGCCCCGGAGGGCCGTCACCCTGAGGAGCAGCTCCGAGCCTGAGCGCCGGCCACCCGTGGAGAGGCCACGGCGGGGCCGGAGGGCGCAGGCCGCCTCGTGTGCCGAGGGGGCAGAGCAGGGCGCGGCCACCGGCCAGGACGCAGCGGGGGTAAGGCCCGCGGGGGCCCCCGGCTGGGCTGTGGGCGGGGTGTTGAAGACGGAAGCCAGTACGGTGCAGGGCCTTGACTTGGGGCTCCGTGTTTAAAACGGCAGAGGAGCGGCAGCTCCAGCCTGGTGCCGAGTCTGGGGAGAAGGCCTGGTGGTTCCCATCTCAGATGGGGTCCGAGGGGCATGAGAGCTTTTCTCTGGAGGGTTTTCCAGCCGCAGAGGATTCTTGTCAGGAGAACAGACAGAATAGGTCCTCGGGGTGCCATTGGACACTAGGCTTCCCCTTCGCGGGAGACGGCTGTAATGCTCTGAAACGCTGAGTCAGCGTACCAGGTCTTCCCCCAAACCCCCAGACCGTAAGTGGTCAGCCGGGAGGTCACGGGCACCATCATCACCAGGGTAGAGGGGAAGAACTGGCTGCCTCCTGTGCATTCACACGCCCCGTACCCTCTCTCTGCAGTCAGAGATGCATCCTCACTAAGCAGGCCCAAGATTTCCTGAACTGGGTTTTCGGCAACTGCTCTCCCAGCGCCTTTTCTTTCAGCCTCTTAACGGCGCACGAGTCATTGGAGGCAAAATCACAACCCAGCCGAGCTGCTAAAGAAAGTCCCTCGAGTCTCGAAGTCTCGGTGGCTTGTCCGGGTGCCCAGGGAGAGGCCAGAGGCAGGAGGAAAGTCTGGCTCAGGTCCGAGGGGTTTACCGAGTGTCCTGCCAACCCTGCAGGGATCGAATGACCTCCTGCCTCCCTTCTCCTGTCAGGACCCGAAGCAGGAGGAAGAGGAGAGGCTCGTTCTGGAGAGCAACCCATTGGAGTGGACGGTGACCGATGTGGTGAGGTTCATCAAGCTGACGGACTGTGCCCCCCTGGCCAAGATATTTCAGGAACAGGTGCGCTGGTCCTTCTGCTGTGTTTGTTCTAATTTTCTTTTGATCTTCTGGTTTAGCTGCTTTCTGTGACATGGCTCTGGCAGGGGAACGGGGTACTTCCTCATGACTGGGGGGGGCTGGGGGACGGAAGCCTGGCTCACACATGGTCCCCGATGACACCTCCGTGGGGGGCTCTTTGCTGTCCCAGCAGAGACACAAGTCCCAGCTCGGTCTCCCTTGTCAGGGGCTGGGAGCCTGGGGCCGTCTGGCCATTGTCGCCGTCTGGGGAGGGGGTTTCTGTCTCCCTAGACTACCCTCTTCCCGGTCCTTCGTCTAGAAAGAGCAGGCTTCCCTTGGGTCTCTTTTCACCCGTGCCCGGGGACAGTATTGGGTGGCCAGCTTCTGTAGCAATAAGTCTTGGACGTAGGAGGCACGCAGACACCCAGGCGCTCAGCACCGTGCCGTCTTGGGCCCCCAGGTCCCTGCTGGTCTGCCTTCTCTTCTCCCCGCCTTACGTTTGTTTGGTTCATTAGTTCTATTCGGCGGGAGAAACAGGGAAGGGATGTGTCCTTATCTTCCCAGAGGCGGAAGCCCGCCATCTGCTGTGTTTCTCTCAGTGCCCCTCTCCTCGCTGCTTTTCGTATTTCGCTCCTTCCTTTGTAACAACGTTAAAAACCTGTGGTGTGTTAGGTTCCGTGCTAATGATGGATAAATGCAAGATAGTCAACATAATCTATACTTTAAAGGAATTTTGATTCTGTAGATAAGACAATGAGAATTAGCTAAAGTGTAAGACATGCTTTGAGCCCTAAGAAAGGAGGAATTTTTTTTTACATTGCCCCTTAAATTAATATGGAAAGAAATCGCCCGTCTGGACCCACGCCACCTTGAAGGCAGCTCCCCGGCCTCCCATGGCAGGTCCAGTTGAAGCCTGTGACCTGTTCTCCCGTGTTCGCGTGAAGGGTTGCTATTTCTCACATTGTCTCACAGCGTGAATGTGTCTTCCAGGACCTCGTCCTTAAGAAAGGTACTGTTTACCGTGTGATCAGTTAAAGATGTGTCTGTCTGGTCTTTTTTTAGATTATACAAACTGATACTCTAGAGAGAGGATAGGAACTCAGGCATTCAATTAGGAAGGGAAAAAGAAAGGCCTCTGATACCCCTGCACCCAGTGAGTCCCCCAGATCTTCTTCCAGGCCCATGTGTGAAAAGCAAATTAATGTGGTTCCCAGCTCATCCCGGGAGAGGGTGGCTCTTAGCATTCAGAGGTCCCATCTGGTCGGCCCCCAGAGCCTCCAGGAGACCCCGACTCTGTGCACATAAAGGGGGAATGGCGGCCACGGGGGTTTGCCGTTAACCAGCAGCCCCTCTCTGAGTGACACAGAAAAGCAGACAAATAGGAAAAAGCTGCATCAGACGTGAAGAACTTAGTAATGAGCTTGTCCCTTCATTTAAAACACACGGATAGGGAGAGAATTGTTAAGAACCGTGAAGGCTTGTGTGTTTTGGGGCATCTCCGTCTTGAAAACACAAATAAAGCAGCTTGAACTCCTGCTAAAAGCATTGGCTAGTGTAGCATTTTCCGAGGCAGGCATTTATCAGTAGTGGCCCTGAGAAGATGCTGAGTGCCGATGACCCGGAGCTCAACGCGTGGGTCTGTGTGCTCGTGTGTCCATTCCGCGCGCACCGACGGAGCGTCTGCTCATGGGCCTTAACGATATTCAAAAGGCAGATGTGGTAGTCAGCGTTCTAAGTCTCAAGTTGTGTTTTTGTTTTGTTTCGTTTTTAGACTCAAAGGCGCACTTTTGGCTGGAAATGGTTTTCAGCTGGGCTGTGGCTGAATAGGGTACAGCGCTCTGCTGCCCCGACTGCGGGTTGGCGGTACGGAGAGAGGTGAACAGCCCCGCGTGCAATTGCTTTCACAGGCTTCTGATGTGAGGCAAGAACGTGAAAACTAAGGGGACCTGGGAAAAAGGCTAAAATGCTACGCATGCTGAGTCATCCTTACTTGCACTTCTAAGCCCAGCTTCTTAGGGTGTGTCAGAAAGTTCTGAGCCTTCCCAAGCCAAGGTGTCCAAGACACAAAGCGTGCCTTGGCACGTTCCCACTTCCAGAATCAGGCGGCAGGCAGGGCCCTGTCTCTCACCTTCTCCTCTCACACTGGTTCAAAACTTGGTCCTACATCAAAAACTAATGATGTAATATATGGTGATTAACATAACAATAAAAAAATTAAAAAAAAAAAACTTGGTCCTACTATGTACCTATTTATTTCTCTTAAGAGACAGAAAAATAGGTAGACTGTAATTGATCATAGTCGTATTCCTATTTCATTTCCAATTTCACGGGAGGCCTTTCCCCGGCCGCAGTAAAAGGCTGTTGCCTGCTTTGCTGTCCGAAGCGCTTGGCGCTTGAGTCCTTTTCTGTTCAATCAGGGCCTGTAATTACTAATTTTTGCTAATTTGTTCAGTCATCTTTGAGCCCAAGTGCCCCACGGTCCTGATTTGCGGAGGCCTCCGGTGGGTCCGTCCACCCACGGCGTGAGCTTTTCGATGACCCGCAGCGAGGGCGGGGGCGGCTCTGTTCACAAGTGTGCGAGAAACTCCGGTGCGTGGAACAGTAATAGCTCTGTGCACACCTCACGGAGGTGTAAATTCAGGGCTGTCACAATCACCAGCAGCATTTACAGAAAGTATAAACTTCCCATTACCGGAAGGCATGCCTTTAATTCTGAAATGTTATGGCAACAGCTTAAAGCATCTATACTCTGTAATTTCCTACTGAGAAATGTGTACATTATACAGTAAAACTCCACACATCCTCTAACTAAGAAAAACACGAAACTCTTAAATATAATTTGGCCTTAAATAGAATGTGGCCCTGGGTCCTTGCGGTGCCGTGCATGTTAGTATGCGGCCCGGTTTTGCTGCCCCCTCGCTGCTGGCTGAGCCCAGAGAAAGGCCTTTCTGTCTCCCCGCACACTGGAGTCTGTGTAGACAGACTCATTCTCCCGGGTGTTTCTCCCCAGCTCCGCTAGTCTGCACCGCACCAGGGCTCCATGCGGCCCCAGAGACCACGAGACCATGTGCACCAGCCCGTAGTTGGACAGGTTCAAGGACTTGGACATGTCCATCTCCTCTAGCTTGCCCGCACTTGAGGGTCGCACCATGGAGCAAGGAGTCTCCTCCCCTCAACTGTGGCCTCAAAACCCAGACGTCCTTACTGTCGGGCGCTGCCCCCTTGCTGCTGGCTGAGCAGAGGGACGGAGGGCCTGGGAAATGCTCTCCCGTTGTGGGGAGGAGAGAGGGGGCTGTGATCGGATAAAGGTGCAGAGGCCCTTTAGAGGTCCTGACCATCATTCTTGTTTGGTTTCATCTGCCCCGAGCTCTCCATGCAGCTTTCCCTCCGCCGCTCAGGGCCCGGGAGGCTGCCTGCCAGGGCCGGAGACTGCTGTACCACCCCCGGTTCTGAATGCTTCCAGGCGCCTCGGAGCAGCGGGCTTATAAACGGTGGGCAACAGCCGTAGGAGCGGGCGGTGGTCTAGTCCAAGCAGGGGAGTTGGGGAAGAGATCGCACGGCAGCAGGCAGACCGGCTTCTGGGGAAGGGGACGGGAGTGGCCGCGGGCTCCGGGGTGTGTGCGGCTAAGCGAGAGCACCTGCCGTGGCCTGTGCAGAGTGGTGAGCGCCGTGGTTCGGGCTGCGCGGTTGCAGGGATGCCCATGGGAGCAGGGCTGTGGGAGGCACGGCGGATGGTAAAGGATAGTAGAGTTTGCTACTGGTCAGAAGTGCGTATTTTCCCCAAAGTTGTCCCAGGAAAGAGAGCCGAGTTCTCTGTCCAATTTTGTAAAATAATTTGTGGCTTCGCCCGGGATGAACACTCGGGCTCTACAGGAAAGAGTCCGGGGCCCTTCAAGCTCTGTAAACCCCGCATTCACTCCCGGGGCCTGTCCCACAGATTTCTGCGTTCTGTTGGCGGAAGCCCCTCGAGGTTTAGGAATAAACAAAGCGAGGGGCTGTCTTGAGGTTTCTCTCTGGGGATCGGAGACCAGAGTTCTCCCTCACCACCAGATGTGAGTTTTTATTTTGAGGGTAGTTGTAGCTGAGTAGAGTCGACCCTCCTTTTCCATACTTCTTCCCACGTGAGGTCTCCATGAAAGAGTGGGGAGTCTTCGGGAGCTAGGGACAGGCTGGTGGAGGCGCTTCCAAAAACCCTCAGAGCGTGCACCCCAGCTCACATCTCCCTGGATGGGAGCCCGATGGCCCCATCCGTCGCATCCGTGCTGTAGACCGAAGCTGCTGTCCCCAGTGGTGATGGGGCCATGGGGTCAGGAGCGTGGAGCCCCCGTGAATGGATTGGTGCCCTTGTAGGAGAGACCACAGACGGCTCCCCGGCCCCCTCCCCCGTGTGAGGACGCAGTGAAGCAGGGCCTCTCCGGTCACCTCCATCTGCCGGCAACTCGATCTTGGCCTTCCCAGCCTCCAGGGCCGTGAGACCCAGGGGCCTGTTGTTCGCCAGGCCCCCAGCCCGCCGTGTCTGTTACCGCGGCCCGGGGGACCTCAGATGGCCCAAGAGTCCCCTCTTCTTTCTCTTTCACTTCTGTCCACTTGCCCGATCCCCTCGCTTTGCCTTTACCCATCTGTTGACTTTCAGGTTCACCCAGACCAGGTTTTCCCATTTAGTCATTCAGCAAACGTTTAATGAGCCCCTATTCTGTGGCAGGTATTTTTCTAGATGCTGAGGATAGCCGGGGGAAACGAGCTAGAAAAAAGTCCCTTGCCCTTGTTGCTGTGCCTTCTCAAAAGTGAGTTAAAACGTGAGGCCGTCCCTGACCCCACCTTCCCCCACCCCGCAGCCGGGTGTGTCCTGGGGCTCAGCATCCAGCTCTGTCTGCTGAGCTGTGCGGATTTGGGCCACCTGCATACGTGTGTCTGCTCCCCAGCCGGAGAACACGGGAGCCCTGTCTCACTCATCTTGTATCCCCAGTAGCTACTTTGGGGTCCGACATACGAATAATTTAACAAATATTTTGCAAATAAATGAAAAACAGCTTTAAAGACTTGGCACCTCCTCAGAAACTTAAGATTTGATTTACCAAGGGAATCCCCTTCTCCTCCTTCTTGGACTGTGAGGCGTTGGAAAAATGGAGAAACCTAAAAGCATTTCAGAAAGAACGAGGGAGAGATAACCAGCTTGCATCTGAGACGTAGATGCACTAACATGTTTTTTTGGAGAAAAGGTTTGTGCATCCCGAAGAGGGCCCATGAGACCTGTACATACATGGCATACTGATAGGATGAACTCCTGTGAAAGCCACCGTCCAAGGAAGAATCCAGAACATTTCAGCACGGCCGTATCTACTGTCCCATCACGCTCCGCTTCCTCTCTACCGGCTATAAATACTGTTCTGAATTCTGTGTTGTTGTGTTCTTGTTTGATTTATTCTCACCTCCTTTTTCGAGGTGATGCCAAAGGGTTTCGCAAAGTAGTTTCCCGACATACATTTCTTCTCGTGCTGTAGGGGGTTCCCGTTACCACATACTTCCGTGCCAACACCTAGCGTTGTGTGATTTCTCCACTTCTGTGGACGCGAAATTGTATCGTGGGCCTCATCTGCACTCCCCTGATAAAGTCAACATCTTTTCCTAAATTGTTCATCATTTTTGTTTCATTTGTGAAATATCTACTCGTGCCTCTTGCCTAATATTCTTTTTATATAAGTCTCTTCGTTGTTGATCTGTGTAGTGCCTTTTATATTCTGGGTTATCACTGCCATCCTTTGTCCATTCTGCATGGAGCATTCGGTTTGTGGTTGGGGAGCCACTCCGTGGCACCCAGTACTGGATCCCAGGGGTAGCACCCCAGTTCTGGGTGACCTTATATCTTAACAGGCTCAGCTTTGCTACCCCCTAATAAATGTTCTCCCCTTCAGTCCCTCATGGCTTCCCCACCCTGCCTCCTAATTCATTCCAGTACGTTGTGGCCAATATCAGGTTGCAGCTGAACACATGCTATAATGTGACTTCTCTCCCTAACGACCTTTAGCGACTTTCTGGTCACACACCCCAGAAGCTCACTTCCTAACTGCTGTCTGGGCCCGTCTCCGCTTTCCCTTCAGTGTCTCTGTGCTCTCCTTGAATACGTGCTTTCATGAACTACTTGTCATCCACGGGTCCATCCTTCCCTCGGTGATTCCCCTCTGTCCCTTAGGTCTGAGTTGGGCCGTCACCTGATCTCTGAAGCATTCCTTGACTCCTGTAAGACTGGCTGTGTGCCCGTCCCTTTGAGCCGGTAGCTCTGTGTTCACACTTTATTCTCTCTGTGTTGTGGTGGTCTGTTCCTCGTAATGGCCTCCCTTGACGTTCGTCCTCTCCTGGGAAGGAGTCCCTTTTGCTCAGTGCAGTAGCCACAGAGGTCATCAGAGCACCTGCCTCTCGGTAGGCGCTCAATAAACACTTGCTTCTTGAGTAAAGAAATGAGTGACATCCTCCACTTAAATGTGGTGCATGCATATGGCGGCCACCTTCACTGAAATGGCCTGTGGAGAGTTACAGAAGCATTTTGGGGGGCTGGCTTTCAAATGTAATTGAATCTATATGTCCAGGGATGGCCATCATGACCTAGTATGGATGTTTAGAGCTGCAGTTTTCCCTCCAAGGTTTAATATCAGAAAGCCATGTTTCTCGGAGCGCCTGGGTGGTTCAGTCGGTTAAGCATCTGCCTTCGGCGCAGGTCATGATCTCAGGGTCCTGGGATCGAGCCCCACGTCAGGCTCTCTGCTCAGCAGGGAGGCTGCTCGTCTCCCTCTCGCTCTGCCCCCCTCCCCCCAGCCTCTCTCTCTCTTTCTCTCTAAAATAAATAAATGATTCTTAAAAAAAAAGAAAGAAAGCCATGGTTCTAGTTCCAATATGGTCTTCAACTAAATGATCTTAGATCAGCTAGCTTTCCTGGCATTAATTTCCGTCTCAAAAAAAGTGTCCTATATCCTAAAATAAGTTTCTATTCTGCTCTTCATTGAACATAGTGGTTAAGCCACCTGCCCATGGTTTTATAACATCGTCCTATTTCCTACTCACAATGTATTTTTCTCAGGCCGTGATACTCACAAGACTTTGTATCCCTAGACCTTTCCCCCTCTGTCAAGGTTTGATGTAATGTAGGTGGATTTGCCTCTGAAAGCGGAGTTGGCTCCCAGGTCCCAGGTCAGGGGGTACCATTATCTGGTTCATGACCTTGAGCAGAACACTGTTCCTCAGCACTTCCAGTTTGCCCTTTACGACAGCCAGCCTTAGAGGTGGCGTCTGAAGAGCAAGTAAAGTAACGTGTAAAAGCACAATAGAAAAAGTAAAAAAGAAAACGTCAAAAGTTCCTTGACAGCGTCGTTAGTTTATCCGCTACTTTCGGCGTGTATTCGAGACTGATGGGTTTACTCTGGGGTTTGGTAAGGTCCAGTTTGAGTCTGGGGTGGGATGTGGCCCGGACTTGCGCACACCACAGCCGCGCTCACGTCCTTGAGACAGCTGCGCTTGCGTCGGTGCCTCTAGGGTTGATGCTTAGTTTTTATGGCTGCTGCACTTAACTGGGGATTATGAGCGCATCGAGGTGCCTTTTGAAACTGATCACACACTACATTATTCTTATTCCCTACCAGCAGCCCTCCCAAGGCTAACCTTTATGCCCATTTGGGGTTGTTTTTTGTTTGTATGCTCTTGGAATTTTTAAGACAGCTAAATAAACCCTTGTCTGAAGAAAATAGCTCCCTGTGTGTAACTCAGGATGCATGATGTCGGAGGTGCCCGTGTGCAGCGGTAGGACTAGTAAGTCTCCGTGGCTTACGGCAGCCCTGGGCTCACCACTCCTCCCCATGGCAGAAATTCTAGTTTTTCTGGGTGTGGTTTGTGCTCTCCTTGTACCACTGGTCTTTATTGTTACCTTCTCTTACTTCCTATGGAACGTGAAGACTGTCTTGGAGGATAGGAGGAAGGGATTGCTCTTATAACCCAATCATGCAATATCTACATAAATAAACCCAGTTTACTATAGGAAGCAAGCTGGCGAAGAGGCAGAGATGTCCAGTGTCGGGGGGGGGTCTTAAAGCTTTGGAGTGGGCCTTGTCCCTGCCTCCTGCAGTGAATGCAGCCTAACAGTCTAATGACTGTCCTCGCCTGGGCCCGGTGCACGGCTTCAGAGAGCTCACGAGGACAAGACCCGGATGCAGACCGCGCACACCTCGTTCTGGGTGGTGTGTGTGTGCAAATGGAGACGCGTGCCTTTGTGTGTGTCTGAATACCCGAGTTGTCCTCTGTAGCCAGCTGCTCTGGGTGGTGGTACAGCTCGCCAGCATCTTGTCACCCGTTTTGATGGTGAAATGTCAGACCTTGGCAAGGAAGAGAGAGAGCTTAGTAGAGCGCTCTTTCCTAGTGCTCACGTGGAGTCACAGCAGAACTCGAGAGGGACTGGGGCGGGGGCCGGGGGGCGAGGGGGCTCTCCTGGCCAGGGGCCGGAAGCTTGGGGAAGAGGAGGTCCTACAGCAGCTCACCTGTTCCACCCCCTCGACCCCACCGGCCTAGGCATGTGAATTTCAGAGTAGCCAGAATTTTCGGAGCAGACCCGTTTTATTAACCAGAAAGATGAGAGAGTCCTCAGGCCAAGTTGGTATGTCTGCCAGTGCTCTCCTGAACCGAAAGGCCCTTGGCCTCCAGGATGAAGCCTGCTGTGACAGAGGCCGTCCCTTGTGTCCGGTGCCTTGGCTCTAACGTGGCTTTGTCTCCTGGCAGGACATTGATGGGCAGGCACTGCTGTTGCTGACTCTCCCCACGGTGCAGGAGTGCATGGAGCTGAAGCTGGGGCCCGCCATCAAGCTGTGCCATCAGATCGAGCGAGTTAAAGTGGCTTTCTACGCCCAGTACGCCAACTGATGCTGCCCTCTTGGGAGCTGACCCAGCGTCGTGGTGATGCGGCGTCGTGGGAAGGTTTGGGGACCGACGCTTTATTTCTTGGGTGATAAGAGCTGGTACATACAACTGAGTAGCAGCGAAAAGCAAGAAGCACGGACCTCTTCACCCTCCAGCCTGCGTGATAGTACCCCGTTTTCAAGGACACCCAGTGCCACGGTGGTGGCTCCTGGAGTGGTGGGCACTGCGGGAAATGGAAGAGCGTCTCTGTACGTCCACGTCTTGCCTTTCTCCCTCGGAAACCAGGCAGCTCCCTGTGAAGGGCTTTCCTCAGACACGGCCCACTTTGCTTTGAAAGCGAAGGCACAGTTGATGTCTTTTCTGAATGTGCCCAGGGAGGACACGGGCTGGTGGTTTTGCTCTGGTCGTTCCAGACGCTTCTTCCGTGACAACGCCCAAGGGGCCGTGGCTGCGTGGCTCTCAGTTTGATCTTGGTGGCAACTTAGTTCTCAGACACACTTGTTGCAGGATGCGGTTATAAAAGGATGGGCTAGACCTGCATCACCTGTCACAGGTGCCTTTTAGGAAGTGGGGGGGCGTGAAGGCAGGCGGCATGTTGCAAGGAGACCGTTCTTCCCGAGTGACAGACATCCAGAGCCTGTGGAGAGTTCCGTTTGCAGTCTTTTATAGAACTTCACATATTGCTCACTTTCTCATTTAATTGTGACCAGATCAGGGAGTGATTCCTTTAGTCTGTTGGGAAATGCTGAGCTGTGTATTGAAGGAAAAGTTTAACGTCAGAGACGAGTGGGAAGAAGCTTCGGGAAGCTTTTAATAAACCAGCTGTGTCCCCGTAGAAGGATCCTGCAGTGAGTCTGTCGGTGAGACTGGCTTTGAGTGCCACTCGGATCAGCCCGGCCCTGGGACGTCCGACGGGAAGCAGGGCAGCCACCTGGCTCAGCCCTGCTCTTCTGCTGGCCCGGCTGACGGCCCCCTGTGATCCTGGATGACCACATCACTCTGGAGCCTCTCGTCCGCCTCCTGCTAAGGGAAGAGTCTCGATCCGCCAATGTGAGACATCGTAGGTGAGAAAGAATCACATCAGCACAGTGTTTACTGTTTCCGGCAGCCCACTCTGGCTTGGAAGGTGCCAGTGACGTTTCTTGGGCAGTTTTCGTTAAATCGGTGAAGCCGCTTGTAGAGAGATCTGCGACTCTTGAGCATTGGCTGGGTTTTTTTTTTTTTTTTTTTTTTGGTACCAAGCACTTCATCTGCGTATGCCTGTGAGGGACCCGGTGTGCTCACTCCAACCTGAATGGGCGGCCCTCCTCCGTTGGGAAGCGTCCAAATGCCTTTCGACACACGTGCAAGGAAACCAGACCTTGAGAGTGTCTGGACATGGACGTGGAGAGGAGCCCGGCCTTCTGCTGCTCTTGTGCTGTAATTACCTTGATCTTTTCTCCTCGATCGGTCTCCACTGCTGGTGGGCCGTCATGGGGTGGGCTGCTGAGCGGTCCTGTTTCTGCACACATTGTAAAGCATGATTATCTGTCAGATTTTGCCAAGTTTGATGACTAACGCCAACCTTTATTCACAGTCTGTCCCTGTCAACAGATGCAAATGGAAAACCGATTTTGCCAGGTGAGTTTTTCCTCTCCACCCTAGCTGATTTCTCCCACCAAGTTGGAGGTGTTTGGCAAGTGGGTTTGCCTGGGGACCTGTGCCGGAAGGACCAGCGCCCCACACCGGGAGCTCCCGTGGTGACTCGTGCGTGGCTCGCGGTCGGGGCTTCTGTGTCCCCACACCGAGGGGTCCGCCACCTCCTGGGTTCCCACTCCCTGCCTTCTCAGCCACATACTTTTAGCCCTACACGCCCAGCCCGTGGAGCCGACTGGAAAGGGATCCATTTCAAGATCTGTGGCATTTTCCCTGCGCTGACTCGCTCGTGACCCTTCGCTGTGGCCTTTTCAAGCTGAGCTATTCCTGTCGCATCTGAAACTGGAGCGAGGGGGTGTGGTGGCTGCAGCGTGACGTTGTACTTTCAGAACGGATGTCCCCTCCTCGTGCCCTTTCAAGGAAAGGCGTGAGGGAGGAGGTGCTACACGGGATGAGGCAGATCTTGCAGGCGTCCCTGGAGCTGGAAGGCCCCCCCTTGGCAGCCCGGGCAAGACACGGCCACCGTTGCTGGGGACGCTTCCTCCTTCCATGTGCCCGACACCTCCTTGTCCTCAGTCCCTCTCTGTGCGGTGATCTGTCACTTCACCCACGTCCACGTAATGGTGCGTGGTCAGCAAGACGTGGCCGGGGCCAGAGGCAGAAGGCCCGGCTCCGGGGTAACCATCACGAAGGTCCTGTGTGTGTCCCCTCCTGGCCCTCCAAGAGCCAAGAAACCTTTCAGGGCCAAGAAGATGCTTTTGCCGTGAGCGTCGCCACCGTCCTCCTGAACTTGGATTCTTTGGGGGATTTCCACTGGTGGGTGTACTTCCTGTTGGTAGCAAGTTGGCAACGGAATGGTGAGGTGGTCTTCGTTCCTCTGTAGGATTCACCTCACGTCAGCTTCTGTCTTATCAGTAGGGCCAATTTCCAAGGCACATTTTACCGTCTTGTTACTGTGTCTCTTGAGGCAGGAAATGCTGATTTTACACCTCTACCCACCGCCCCCCCCCAGTACCACCACAGCACCAGCCGAACGTTTCTCGGTTGAAATGCCAGCAAGTGACGCCTCTCCCCCGTTTCTCTGTCCCCAGACACTTCAGTCTCTGCTCTGTCTCTAGGATGATACTTCGGGACCAGAGTCCTGTCTTCTGCATAGCCAGGTCCTGCATACAACACGCCGCTCTTTACCTCCCGTAGCTGGTCGAGAAGCGTGTCTTCCTCTCCTGCCCAAGCGGACACTTGGCATTCTGTACAATGTGTATAACTTGAGAAGCAGAAATGCGGCCTTGTCCGTAGTGGTGACAGTCATCACGCAATCCCATCCAGAAACTAAGGGAGCTGGTTTGGCCCCTGCCCTCTTGACTGCATCTGTACTGTGTTGGGAAACTGTCCTACCCACAACGCTATAAACCTAAAAAAAGCAGGTACGGCTGGCATTGCAAATGAACTTCTTTGCATTTCCAAAACAAAAACAAAACAAAACAAAACAAAAAACAACCAAAAAAGGAAAATGGAAACCAGTTTCCTTCAAGTTGCATCATCCAGAGAACTCATCCATCGCTTTTAAAATTAGGTTCATTTGATCAAAGTTTGACTCACACACAGTGTTTGGGCTGTGCAGCGATTAGGTTGCTTTCCCTTATTTGATCATATTTGAAAGAGTATTTCCTGTGTTTGCTTTCATTGGTTCCTCAGTACATTAAAATGACTCAAACCTTTGACCCTGCCCCTTCTGACCCTCGCTATAATCTCTGGAAAGTTGGTTTGGATCAGTCTTTGAAGCTTGGTCTGAGTGTCCTGACTCGTCTCTTAGAGTGCTGAGTGTTGTATCAAGCAAGTTCTGAGATTTGCCTTTTATCTTAGACCAGACACCTCTCTAGGAGCCGTTCTCCCTTCGTTTTGCAAGCACTAGGGGTTTTTGTAACTTCTTACGTAGAACACCCATTTATGTTTATTTCTGTATATAGAACTATAAAAACTGTATCGTTAAAATCTTTGTTGTGGTTTGAGCACCATTGTTGCTTTTTGGTTAAGGTGGTGAATCTAGGATCCAAGTATTCGATTCTGTCTTTAGAAAGCTGTGATCGCGTGTGCAATTATTTCTGAAGGAAAAGATAGTAAATTTAGGTCTCTGTAGTTTTTAAGGAAGCAATCGTGGAAGAGATATACATACACTGCCCGTTGTGTTTTGGTGCAATAACGAATAGCAAGGAGAAGCTCTGTCTTCAACTATGACAATGTAATGATTCTCTTACTCGTTTCCTGTTCTTTTCTGTTCAAGAGTTTTCTGGAAATGGCTTTCGTCCCTTTAACTTGGTTGAATATTTCAGTTGATTCTCATAGCTTTCATCACTAGAGTTGGTTTACAAGTATTCCAAAACACGAATGCGATAAAATCGAATTGTGCTAGTTTTGACCCCCTGAATTTACCTAAGAAGTGTAATTGCTGACACATGATGCTGCTTTGGGTTTTGGTTAAAAGCATCTCTAGTTCAGTTGGTAAGAACTAACCCAAACAATTTCCTCAGCGGTGGTCTTTCCATCTTCCTGGTTGGTTTTAAATGCTGAGGATTCTGTACCAGCGAGCATGTCAGTCTTAGGCAACCAAGCCAGAGTGGTGCTCCCGTGGGCCTGGCGGATACCCTGAAGAAAAAGTAAAGTTCTGGGACCAGTGTTTGCTGAAAATCGGCTTATGATGGGAAATTGGAAATAATTTTTTTTAAATGACAGAAGAAAGAAATCATCTCATTTTTGTTCACGATGGGAGCTAGCATGATATCCAGAAGCATAAACTATCCCTAGTCGTGAATGTCAGAAGCCCTTTTACTGTTTTGCATTCCAGTTTGAGTAGTTTGTATTGAAATCTGATTCATATCTTGTGTACGTTGCAGTGTGTTAAAGGAAAAAATCGTGTTCTTACTTTTGGAATTTGCAGGACAAAGGGCATGTTGTTGGTTTGCTGGAGGATTGTATTCTGTATATATGTTTTCATGTAAATAAATGAAAATCTATATCAGAGTTATATTTTAATTTTTATTCTAAATGAAAAGAAACCCTTTTTACTTGAAAAAGTTGTAAGCCACATTGTTAATAAAGTAAAATGAGTTCTATGGTGGTGTGTGTCTTTCTATGTAAGGTCACTAAATATTATCTTTAGGGTTTGCGTTTTGTTCCATTTGTCTTTTCCTGCTATGCACTAAAACGTGTGTTTGTAGGGTTTTAATAACCATGGTTCTGAAAGTCCCATGCAATCTTTCAGAGTTACCCGGTAGCTTTGGCACTTTTTATTCAAGGCACTTGTGTTTATTCTTTTTATTGGAACATTACAGTGTATTGTACAGAATCGCCTCTAGGCTTTCCCGTGGTCAGAGATTGGGTTCTTCTGTGATTGCCTGCTGCCTCAGGAGGAAGACGACTTTAAGTCCCCCCGCCACTCCACACTAAGCGTTGCTGAGGGGCAGAGCCAAGGCCAAGGGGACAAGCATTCAGGGGCAGGTGGTGGAGGAACATCCCCTTCTTCTGACCCTGGCCCACCTTAATCATCCAACTTCTCTTAAAGTATATTATGTTTGCCCCTACTGACAAGCAGGTTCTGTATATAGACATTTTTGTTGTGTTCTCTTTTGAATTAGGAAAGAAAGCTTTTTCCGTCAGTCCATCTTTACTACCAAAAACAAAGCCTATGACGGTAGACAAAAGTGGGGAGCATATTGTTCATTTTCCCCAAATATACTAGAAACAAAGAAGTCAAAGTTATTGAGCTGAGTAAATAAGATTATTATATTTCTATTTGTGCTTGAAGATCCTTGATGACAAAGAAATGTAGACTGGATATATAATCAGATAAAGTGGAAGGTGAACACTTCCGGACCTCTCAATTGAATGAATTAAAGCCAAAAAAAAAAAAGACAAAAATCCCTCCCATCTCTCTCCGTCTTGCCACCAAGAGCCCATTTTTAATGCTTCTGCTCTCTGGTGAGGCTGTTCTCAATTTTCAGTTCACTGGAAACCCCTTCCCTTTTGTTCTGGCATCTCGTGCTGCTACTCTCTTATTTCAAGGCTGTGGGACAGTGCCACGCTTCCTGGAGGTTCAAAGACCACATAAAAAATGCTGTTTACGTGGACATGACCTTGAGTGGCTCCCGTGTGAAGACAGGATGTTTCATCAGTGAGGTGAAAATACTACGTCAGGGTAATAGCTGGGCCGCGATGGTTTTCTAGGGAAGAACTTTATCAGGAGGCCTCGTGACGTCAGCCCACACTGGAGTAGCTCCTCTGTGCTGTTGAGGCTCCTGTTTGGAGGACTCAGGTGGATGAAAGCTCTCCTTGCGCTTTTCTGAAGTCCCATCAGCGCTCGATTCGCATGCCCGCCATGCCTTCCCACCCAGCCTCACGGTTCGTGTTCTAACAGTCATTGCCATCTCTTGCTTCAAAACTGTTGGAATGGTAGACGTGCAACAGTTAGGTGCGCATTGCGGTGAGAGAGTGAGACCAGGGTGGAGACGGACGGTGTCGGCTTGGAGAAGGACTCCCGTACTTTTCACACGGTCCTGGGTTGGGAAACACTTGTACTGCTTGCCATGTATGCAACACAAAACCTCAAAGGCAAGTGGTAATACATCCATACCCGCTTGACGGGAGGATTAAAGATACCGTGTGGTGCTAAGCCAAGAGTCTAGCACAGAGAGGGTGAACCCAATCCCTCGATTCACGGGGCACATCAACTCCTGCGCCCTTGACCACTCTCTGGAACCTGGGTGACCACTACTGTTGTGTCCATCGTGCCCACCGCAGGGGGAGCCTCAGGTACCAGGCCTGACCCAGACACACCCTGGAGAGCTGGGCCCCCTGCTCCACCCCTGGATTCTGAGGAAGAACACACCGTGTGGTGCAGGATCTGCTTCCTGGAATGATGGTTGACCAGAAGGGTGGTGACAGCCCACGGGCAGGGGAGTGAGGGTCTTGAGGGTCCTCGAGCTCCAGCTTGGGTCAGTGCAGGAGCGGGAGGGTGCTAGCAGGAAAATGGGAGTTCTGGGTGGCCTGTCCAGAGAGACCCCCTTTTTTTTGTAAGTGGAGGCCAACCGTGTAACACAGCATCTTATATTTGCTGTCCTTCCTTCCCTGATTTCATTTCCACTTGCCTTCAGTTCCGTTGCCGTGTAATTTTATCCCACAGTCAAATACTAGCATATAAGCTTTGCCTCAGACTATGTTATCTTTGGAATCCCGAATTAGCCAGTTGGTGCCAGAAGCTTTCTAGAAAACAGACCCTCCAGATGGGATTGGGGAATCCGACTGCCACCCATCTGAAAGCCACGGGACGCTCTTGCTCTTCAGGAGCAGGTAACCAATCCCAGCAGTGTGCTCAGCATCCCTGGAGCTCCTGTATGCGGCTGAGTAGGATGAACGGGAGGCAGACAAGGCTTCTGCCTTGGGCAGGGAGCCGGGACGAGCATATCTGTGAACACTGTACGTGGGGGGCTGGCTTGGCAGCGCTGGCCTTGGAAACGGGAAGTGGCAGGCAGCCGTAGGAAAGCAAATTACCAGCTTGGGTGCATCGAAGGCAACTTTCAGAGATACTCGTGTGTAAATCAGCCACATGGAAGACTCACTGAAAAATCAGGCCCCGGATCTGACGAGGAGGATGGTCGAGCTGCAGAGGACGTGAAGTGTGCGACCTCGACAGGCTTCTTTCTGCAATGTCAGATGGCGATTTTTCCTGATAGTGACAGAGTGAGCCTCTGAGACGTGGGATGGGGTCACAGAGTACATAAGCCAAGAACCTTGGGCCTTCCATTGCCCTGTCCCCTCCTGGCTGGCCGACCTTCCCCTCGCCTGAGGACAGAATGCAACATGACTGCGTTCTCACGATGTGTATCACGATTTCCCTGCCCCGTCATTGCTTCCACGATAACGGGACAGGTCTCAGTATGGCCCACGCTGGGAATTACCAACCCTGATCCTGGAAGGGCAGCCCACACATGGCAGGAATTCCAGGATGTGACCAATGGGCTGGCAGGAGCCGGGGAGCTTATGTGGGAGCCGATGAGGACGTTAGACCTAGCCCCGGACACGAGACTGGATGTGGGGCATTTGCCTGGGACTTGGGATTTAATCTTATAAGGACAATTTGGAGCCAGTCTAATGATTCCCGGGTAGGATTCCCAGAGGTTTTCCTACAGGAAACAAGATGGACATTCCAGAACGTCCTCTTCATTGTACTGAGGAAGAAGCCCGAAGGCTGGAAATAGGGTGGGGTAGACTCTAAACCGGGCTCAGCTGATGCTCCTGCTTTTTTTCAAATAGAGTTTGCAGGGGCGCCTGGGTGGGTGGCTCAGTCGTTAAGCGTCTGCCTTCAGCTCGGGTCATGATCCCAGGGTCCTGGGATCGAGCCCCGCATCGGGCTCCCTGCTCGGCAGGGGAGTCTGCTTCTCCCTCTCCCACTCCCCCTGCTTGTGTTCCTTCTCTCTCTGTCAAATTAAAAACAATCTCTAGAATAGAGTTTGTAAGGACATTGAACCTACACTTTCCGTCTTGGGAGAACGATGAGGGCATCTTATTCTGAGCACATGAGAGCTGGTTGACACGGGAGAGTGCAGGTGACTGGCACAACAGGTGCGTTGTTGGGGGTTGGGCCCAGGCACGCACCTCCCTGGACGTGCTTGGCGTCCACGACCTCCCAGGCCTGTGCCTCCTTCACGGACGGCCCAGCTGCTGCACATGGTGCTCCGTCCCCACACCGCCTGCCATCTTGCCCGCTCCTCTGCCCCTGGAGGGCTGGCCCGGCACACTCTCCCAAACCACCACGCAGGCAGCCACACACATTCTGGCCCCCCGAGCCCGGGGTGCCAGACCCATCGAAGCTTCCACTCCTTTGGTCTCTGCACCCAGGTGAAGCTCTGGGCGCTGTGGTCTGTGGCTTCTCCCCGTGGCGGTAGACTTGGAATCCGGAACTTGGAGCTGGAAAATGCTGGGGATTCGTGTCCCGTGGGCAGACTTCGATCAATGAAAGGGAGCAGGTAAATTCCTCTGCTGTCCTCCCCCAGATCGCCTTTCCCCACTGTGGCGGTCTGTACGTCTGTCCAGAGACATCCTGCACGTCTGAACGACCCCTCGTGCTTTCTCGTGAAATCACGGCCAGCGATCTAATGCATTACTCCTCGAGTGTGCGTCTCATCCCCCCTTCCATGCCTTCCTTCCCTCAGCTGGGATCCCGCCAGTAAAGCTGCGGCTTCTAAGCTCATCTCCAGGATCTGCTTTCCGAGGATCGAGCCTGAGACAGGAGGCAGCTATCATTATGCAGATGCATTGTACAAATAATAATGGTTAGATATCCTGGTGTGATCCAGCCATCCTCTGGAGCCCGAGAAATTTATGAGCTTCCTGTCACTGAGCCTGATCGTCATGATATGAAGCTTTTCTGAATTGCTTTAAGACATGGGTTGGAAGTTCACATTAAGACTGTTCTTCCTGGTTATTAAAGTAATGGGTGTGCGTTATAGAAAATTTGGAAAGGGCCGTCATCCAATCTCCTGTTCTCTAACCAGGTCCAATTACCACTCTCCCGTATTTCCGTGTGTATTTATAACACGATGTCGAAATCCAGTTCATGCCATTTAAAAATTGTTCACCAGTTTATTTTGTAATTGCGTTCTCTGGGGTGGAGGTAATGTTTTTAGCTATCTAATTTTTTTTTAATGTTTCAGTACATTTTTAAGGAATTCAATGTAACAGATGTTTGTGTACCACCCACCCAGCTTCCAGAAGTATTGTTGTTTGGCCGTATTTGCTTCAGATTTATGTGTCTTACAGAATCTTACAGGTAGAGTCAAAACCACAATTCCGACTCTTCCAATTGTAGGCAGGATTTTTACAGTAATACTTCATTTGTATATAAGCATGATAATGTACACCTCTGCTTTATGGGGTTTCAATATTTTCATGAGTGTTATGCTGCTCGTGTCATAATGCAATTGACTCTTTTTCCTCAGTATTATGTCTGTGAGATTTATGCATGTTAATATTTTTCTAATTCATTTATTTTCACTGCTGCGTAAATTCCATTGAATGTATGATTTCCTTCTCCTTTCTCCTACTCTTGGACTTTTAT